TTTTGTTAACAATTATAGCAGCTTAATAAGTGAATTATTTAAAGTTTATTTTGAAAGGATGCATTTATAATTTGATCTTTCACGGAAATGGCTGGATTCAATAAATAAGTCTAAGAAGAAAGATAATTTTGGAATACTATATACTGTATATATATATAAAATATTAATAAATAGATGTTATTATTAAAATACCACATAAGGAATGAATGGAAAAAGTTCATGTACGAATCGTATCGAAATAAATGTGTCACGCATGTCACGCAAAAAAAAAAATTATTAAGCGTTATCAAAATCAGGCTTTAATTATAGACGTAAAAATCCACATAAACACATCGTATGAAATCAATGTCGCGCAAACCATTTTATACCCGATGTTTCATAGAAGTAGTGGATATTAACTTTAATTAATCAAGTTGGGGGTGAACCATAAATGGATTCAATACTAAAAAATTTTTTAATGTTTTAATATCATTTTATTGATTAATTAAATATTCTAAACTTTTTCAAATCGTTGAAGACTTTCTATTATCTAAAGTTTAAGACGAGAGAATTTTATTATTTAACTTCTAGTTTCTATATCAAGACCAAAAATTTCATTTAATATTACAAATAATCATGTTAATAGCTTGGGTTATTTCTTTGGTAATAATTTGAAATACTTTATTAAACTTCTCATCCACGTTTATTGTGACGCAAAATTAATTTTTTATAATCGGTTTAACTTTTTTCTTCGTAAAAGTTAAATAAATTTTATTTTTGTTAAAATGTGTAGCAAAATAAGCTACTACTTTTCCAATGTCCGCAACTAGCTTTTCACTTTTTTTAATTTTTTAACCTTACAAATATCAAAAGTGAAGATATGACAATTGTTTTTTAAAAAAAAAAATAAAGTAGATCGAATTTCTTAACAAACACAGTAAGTAATTGTTTCCAAAAAAAAGCAAATCAATAATGACAAAATTAGAAGTGTGCACACATGGTTCAATAGAAAACGCCTATCTTATTTAGAAAATTACTAAGATGGTCTATTGACGAACCCCAAATATCATCGGGTGTACAATATGGAAATTTTTCACATGACACTCGCAAACATTAAATGATATTTACAAAATTGAATTAAATTTTAATAGAGAATAATATATATGGAAAGAAGTTCAAATTATACTTTTTTGTTTTTTTTTCTTAATCTTACTACTGAATCCTTTTTATCCAAAATAAACTTAAAAACTATAAAAACTATTTATTATCTTGAATTCATCAAGAAATGAAATTTTTAACTAATTTTTTACTAATATTGGGTTTGAAGAGATAAAAGAGAGTGCACACATTAAATTAACGTAGTATTCTATGCAGGGATGAAGAATAAAGTCTTTACACATGTTAAATAATTCCCTTTTTTTTTGTTAAATGGTCTATTATAGTGTTCCGAAATGGTCAGATTTCATAAACTCGAACCCCGACCTGAGTGTTCATTTAATTTGTAAAAATATTCGGGTAGCCCAACACTAATTTTACGGATGATATTAATGCCGAAAATCGAATTTCGGGTCATTTTTATTATAAATAATATTTGAAAGGAGTTTGCTATTTATCACCAGCGTTACTCAATTGAATTATTCCACGTGACTGGTGACACAAATAACATTTGAAAAAGCGAATTTCTATGCACTATAAAAAAAATCGGTCACGTGCGTTTCTCTGTTCACATTACGTCCAATGATTTTATCGATCTTAATTTGTTTTTTATATTTTAAATATAATTTTGACATTACCAGTAAGTAGGGTTGGTAAAGTTTTAAAAAGTCTTTATGAATTTAAAAATAATTTTTATTTATATATTAAATTTTTTAATCTTTTAATTATTATTATATTAGATAAATTTTTTTATTAATTTAAAATAAACAAATTCTTTAAAAATTAGAATTTCGGATCTGGTTCTATCCTAAATCTAATATTTTAACGATTTTTTAAATTTTAAAAAGAAATTTAAAATTATTTTAATAAGTAACATTAATTAAAAAATTAATTATAAAGTTTTTAAACTTTTAATTGATTTATATAATTGATTTATGAAATATTTATTTGAGTTTGAACTATCCTTGATGATAAAATACAATTTTTTATAGTCTCTAAATTAATATTTCGTTTTGATATTTTCTACACAATAATTAGTTGTATACTTGTTGTAGTATGCTTTCATTTCATTAACATTTTTTTTTAAAAATACCTAAAAGACTATAAACTATTTTAGAAATTTCAAATTATATTATTTAAAAAATATATTATATTATATTTATTATGATACTTTAATCACAATTTTAGAATCATTATAAATAAAAAACTAGTGCAAACGCTATTAAGGGAATTAAAAAAAATTTCGAATAAAAAAGTACACTAAATACTACCGAACGATAATAAAAATCCGACTGTTTAAAACAATGGCATCATTTTCGGAAGATTCATTTCTGGTTGAAAATTAGGAATAAGAGTTGGTAAACGAGGAGGACGAAATCGAAGAAGCGGGACATTAGAGACAATAGTGGTAGTACTAGTATCGGGTTGTTTGACATGTGGATGATTATAGACATTAGAAAAGTCAATAACGCTAGTGCCAGGAAAATTATATGTTTTGACACGACGTTCTCTGCGTTTAAAATGTGTGAGCCACATTCCTAGAATCCTATTGACAGCACGGAATTTATTGAATTTTTTCTCCATTGCCCTTTGGCAATGAGACCATTTAATTTCGCCGAAGAAGTTTTTATTATTTTTTCCCCATTTATAGATGAATTCCTTTTCTTCCTGCGTGAAAGGACCATCCGTTACTGATCAAGAAGAGAAAACTTATAATCTTATTTTTTTTTAACAAAAAAAAAGAGTAATCCAAACATAAATTTACGTACGGCGAGGGTTAAGTTTGTAGTTCCACCTAATTTATGATTGAAGAAAGACATAGAAAGTCAAGAATAAATTTCTAGAAAAGTAAATTTTTAGCAAAATATTGACAATTTACCTATGACATATTTGTTTGGGAGAGTATTTAGGAATACGACGACTTAATTCTACATACGGTTTATTATGATTTTTTCTTTCATCTTGCATAAATTCCTTAATTTGATCATCGGTCTATAAACGAGATAAATAAGTGAAGTGTTAAACGTATCTAATTTTTTCTTATAAAAAAAAAAATAAACATACTTTTAGATCAAATATAGGCATGCTTGCGATGTAGTGATGTAGTGAAAAAATATATATATATATATATATTAGCGTTCCTTTAAGGTTCTTTTTTTTATGTTTAATTTTTATTATATTTTTTTTTTTTTTTGAAAAATTGTTGGAAGAAGTCGTAGAAGTCGTCGCTTTTTTATATCAAAATATTATATTATTAAAGTAAATTCATCAATAAGTTGAATTACTAAAATAAATTTTAATTTTATATAAAGAATTGTTTCATCTTATATTCTAAGAATCAAAATCTTTTTATAGATTTGCTTGTATAAAAAATTTTTTTCATGATCATACATACTATATATAACGCGTTTCAAAAAACAAGAAAAAAAACTTTTTTTATTACTTGCATTAGTCCTTTTCCTGATAATTTGTTATTCTACTATTACAAAAAAAAAAAAATGTGTATTAATTTTTTATTTTAACAAAAAATTATTCACCAACTAGAAAATTTAGTATTTATTCCATTGCAATACAATATTTCGTTGCTTTTAAGCTCTAAATTTTTATTTTTTTGCGATCATGATATCGGAATATAATAAAATCAATCTGGCCCCTTTGAGTTCTCTCCTTTGCGGAACGTCTCTTGATTAAAGTAAACAAGTCCCACATCTTATGAAACAACTGTTACACTAATGATATTAACATCAAAATGCAAAAATAAAAACGGTTTATGTTTCCATGTTGTGTCATAATATAAATCTTTTTTTTTTATAATGAATAACGTTTTTATAATAAAATATTATTATTATTATATATTTATTTATTTATTTAAAAGTAACGGTCACGAAATAATCTTATTAAATAATATTCATATTATGAAACAATTTAATATATTTTTAATATTTGCGAAAAAGGTGGAAAACAAATTTTACAAAAAAGCATAGCTTTGAATCTAGATTTCGTTCACAAGACAGACATTTTAAAATTTAAACTTGACCAAATTAATCGAAAGTTACACAATTAATCTGGCGTCACAAATATTTTGATTACCAGGCAGGTTTTTCCTGAATTAGACTTAATTTAACATGGTTTTCTACAAATAAAAATCGTATTTATAAATAAAAGATTATTTTTAGCCCGAAATTAAATTTGTTTAAAAACGATTAGTGCTTCGAAAGTTCGACTATAAGATTTTAAACTAAAGTAGTTTTCTTTCTATTGTAAAAACGTCTTATCTACTAAAAATTTACCAAGAAGCTTTATATTTTTATCTATTTTTTTAAATATCGAATTTTTTTTTAAATTTTTCTTTTTTTTAGTTTCGATCGCATCAGGTGCTGGTTTCTGTATTTCTAGCATCAGGTGGTAGTTTTGTCATGTGATATTGAAAATTTATATTTATCATTTATATATTTTTATCTTAATGAGTTTGTAATTTAATTCTTTTTTAAAAATTAGTAAATAAAAACTTGCAAATAGTTTAAATAGTTTTATTAATATTTTTATATATTAATTATAAAAATAATTTCTTTTAATAAATATATCTTTATAATGATAATTATTAAAATTTGCTAAATATAGTAGTGATTAAAAGGAAATCTATATTTTCAAATTACTATATTTTAAAAATCATGTTTTTTTTGAAATCATAAGATATTATTAAATATGTTATTCTGAAAAATACAATTTCTTGATATTATCCCTTTAATGGTAAAAAATTGCAGGCAAATTTGCCTGCAATTTTAAATAATTTTAATTAATTTTTAACATAAAATTTTTATTATTAAACCTATCGATTTTTTTTGATTTTTACTTAAAATTCATTATAAATTTTATTATAAAAATATT